GCTGCCTGCAAAGCTCCAAGAGTCGCAGAGCCCAAGTCCTTTTCGCTGGGCTACTTACAAAGTTTGCACCCAGTTTTGCAGTTTGTGTGAATATTTTTGTGGGACTATATTGGATACTACCTCGCTGACTGCACGTTGCGTATTTCAATTTGCACTCGCTTAATTATATTTCGCAATCTTCCAGATAAGTTTATAGCTGTTTTCCAAATACATTGTCGAGCGGAAACGAAAAAAACATTACTTTGGATTAAAGTAGGAAATTCAGCGGTCCAAACCAAATAAGAATGTTGAAACAAAATTAGTTGATAGGTTGAAAATAATCAAATTAATACATAATTTGCTATATACTCTACAAGCACAATTATTACTTTTAAACCCGTTAACATACATTTCTACAGTTTTGATTAACCACCAAAAGCTATACTCTATAAACACAATTATATATTGAATCATTTTAAGCGGTATACCATCAACCATAATTTCCATTCTAGGAAACCGTTGCTCATTCCAATTAAAATTATTTGCATATGTTGTGGCAAACAATCAAAGGATTGCTCCATTACAGCCCATCACTGATGGGTTTGTTCAATTTGATGATTTTCCATTTAATTCATAAATTGTTGATATCATCGACAGTCGAACTATTGCATCTTTCATGAGCCATCAAAGCGAATTGGCGTTGAAAATGTCGGCCAGAATGGAAAGCAGAGCAGAGAGTTTCCAAAAGAACAGCAGGCAATAACACTACGGGCAGTGGAAATTGGCATCATCGTTGTCATGACATGCGAGCAAAATAAATTTTAAATTATAATCAATAATGAATATGGAACTTTTGGGTAGCACAAATCAGAAGTAAAAAAATCTCCTCGACCATCGAATGGTGCATTGCTGTGAGTGAACTCGAATGGCATTGATGAAATGGACAATTTTCGTGTGGATTAATTTATAAATACAAGTAACATATGTGGGTCAGACATTTGCAGAGGGAAGTTTTGTGGTAAACCATCGGACATAAATCAAATTTTGAGAAACACATGTTCTCGTGAATAAAATATATATAAAATATAAAATATTTAGTATATATTTTTGCACATAAAAAATATGTACTAAAAGGTGGATTAAATAATTTAAGTATAGAAAATGTTCCAAGCTTAAATAATTTATAAACCGATTCATATTTCTTTTTATCTATTATTTTTATTTAAGTCTAATTAAAAACGTTGATAAATTAAATAGGGCCGATTTATAAATTCAATATATATCAATTTAAAAAGTTATTTTTTGTATAAAAAATATAAGGATAAGATTAATAGGATATTTTTTTGTTTTAAGACTTATAAATTCGGTTATTAGCCAATCCAATTATTAAGTTTTTGTAAAACAAAATATAAGTACTGCAATTATTGACACTAACGATTAGTTAATTATAAAAATAAATAAATATCTTTTCAATCTTCTCTCCTGCAATTTAAACCTTTTATATTCAGCATCCTTAGGCTGTAAAGTATTTTCCGGATGCAGTACAAATGCAAACTTTTGAAAGCCTGAGGCCACAATGAAACTCCGGAGTTCAGACCATGTGGACCATTCGACGACGTGTTGGTCTCCAAATCGAGCCACTCGGGAATTATGGAACAAAAACACACTGCAGGGAGGGCGCAAAAATAAAATGAAAAGAGCAAAAAGAAAAACCCACAACATCGGCCTACAACAACTGGGCCCAATTCAGTTGCCTTTTCTCTGGATTCTGCTTTCCTGCCTCACTTTTGCTGCATTCTGTGGATTTTTTTAATTAAACCAAACGACAATTTGACATCAATATCGAAATTAAGATCTTGCAGAGGCCGCACAACACTTTGCCAGTGAAAAAATACAAACAAAAATGAAAACATGGCAAAAAGCAAGCTCCAAAATGAAAGGGAAGTTATCAGAGCGCCAACTCGATTTCTTTAAAGGGTGCGAGCAGGACAACAACTTCCGTCACATGCTGAAAAGCGGATATCCGGTACAACAAATTTTTGTTGTACTCGTTTTGAACTTCAGTTAAGGGGTGCACTACGATCTGAGGGTATATTAGTAACTTAAAAGACAATATTTTTTATTTGTTTTAAGGAACGTTTTTTTTTAACTATAAAAACAAATTTTTATAGAAGCTCGTGTTTTTAAGACTACAGTAACAAACATAAAAGGAATTAAAATCTAAACTAAACATGTCAAATATTTGAATTACTAAAAAATTCTGAGAGAGATTAACACTATAACAACTTAAATCTGGTAAATTTTGTTGAATAAAACTTTGTTTTCAATATAATATCAAAAATTCAAATAATTCAATTTTACAGAGCATCAAAAACCTATATTTTCTAAAAACTTCCCTTGCCACTCTTAAATGTTCGCAACATTTCAGTTTTGTTTTGTCGTTTTCAATTTGCTCTCGTCCTTCGTCCTTCGTCCCTCGTCCCTCGTTCTCTTATTGCTTCTGTTACTGTTTATGTGCAAATCGTTGGAGTGGGCGGATTGTGTGGGTGGGCGTGGCCGCGCCGGATATTGATGTGTTATATGCGATGTTGTGACTGCAATATATTTGCCAAATGACAGTTGATGCCTCGACTTGCCACCCAAATTCCCTGGGAAAAAAAACGAAGGGAGATAAAGGTCATCACACACACACACACGTACGAGGCTGCGGATGCAGGAGCAATAAAATTTTCGATTCGCAGGACTCGAGATGGGGAAATAATTGCGGCCCCTGAAAGTGTTGCCATAAAAATGCAAATGCCAAATGCCGCAAAGTTGCGAATGCGAATGAGCGTTGGGCTCGGAAAACAAATAATAATGAAACCCTTGACAGCGGCAACATAAATCCGTTCTGGCATATATAACAAATGATAAATGAAGAGTTGAAAGGCAAACAAATCGAACAAAGGGATAAATAAACCAGGCTCTCTCGCAACAAATTTTCCCTTTTTGGGACTTAAAAACATTTACGAACTGAAATTGGAGTCTGGCGATGTTATTGTTTATCACTTTGGAGCCATCAAATCGACATAAAAAATAAAAACATACAGAAAAATGATATTTTAATCTATGATTCAGTGGGAGGTCAAATGGCAACAGCTTGTCAATGACCAATTGAAAATAAATAATGCAAAATATTTCTATGGGCGGGATAAAGTTTATGCGACTATAATAACTTACAAATTTATCGGATTAAAATTATCGGCTTAAAATTATAAGATTTACTTAAATACCCATATGTGAAATATGAGGCAAGAGGTTTAGAAAGACTTATCGATACACACACATTTAAAAATCAACAATGAAATTAAGTTTAAAAATAATACCGCTTAACTAATAAAAATACCTATAACAATTTAATGTCTAATCTAAATGGTTAAATTTGTTGGAGCTTAAGTAAAAGTCTAAGCAAGTATTCTGTATTTGTTTTTATAGATTTTCAAAATGAATCAGTTCATTTTCAAATGGCTAAGGGTTTTTTAATTCATTATATGCCACCTTAAGAGGCCAAACAATATCATTAAAATAATCCATTAAACTCAAAAGTTAATTCCAAGCTCGTAAACTAGGAACAATTGGAAACAAAAATAATAAATATATATAAATAATAAATAAATGTGTAGTAAATACCAACTGGTTTTAGGAAAAATTTTATTGTAGAATTATTTTTAAATATATCTAAAACTTTTTATTACAACAAACTTTAGTTTTGTGTATCCAATGATTTTTCTTTTTCAAATTTGGGACATCGGCTGATAGAAGAATGCGAAAAGGGCGTATGAATGGCAGTTTTGCAGCCTTTAGCTGGTTTTGTAACATAACAGCTAAAACTTTAGCAAAGCCAAGTTTTTGTATCTCAGCTGCGTCCATGTATCTGTATATATTGCATTTGTAGCTGGTTCTCAGTGTTGCAATCAGGACTTTCTGTGTGTGTTTTCTCTCATCTAATTGCAGTTGGAAATTGTTAGGAGGCTTTTGAAGTTTTTAATTGAATTTTGGCTCATTGCCCAGACTTGGCGTTAACAGAAAACATTCATGGGCATTTTCCATTTATCGTTTTCCTTTTCTAAGTTTTCTTTTTAGAATTCGTATCCTTTGCAAATATATGCCAAAAGCAAAATAATACAACTTTTTGGTATTTGTGTGTATCAAATAACAATTACTGGAGTAAAAAGGGGACAAAATAGGTATGAAAAACAAATAAGAATATATTTTTTTCTCAAATGTTGTTCCCTTTTAGCATATTTATATTTGCTTTGTGCCGTTTGTCCTCGTCTTGAGTTGTCCTTGAGGAGGACTTACCGGCGAAATATGAGAAAATTCGCACAAAGCTTTTCGCAATAATGCCCGGGTACTCGAAAAAGACAATCACCTGGTTATCGAGGGTTAAATGGAGTGGCTGGGGTGCTTAGAGCTGCCGGGGGTTAAGTGTCGTTATCATCTGTTTATTGAAATTGCGTATCAAATGTTCGTTTTCAATTGAAATGGCATTTTGGTGGATCCCTATTCTAGAAAATAAACAAAGAATGGAAATGGAAAACATCACATAAATTTAAAGAAAAATCTTAAGTAAGAATGACTTAATGCGGCTTGGAACTTTGCAAAAGCTAAAAAAAAATAAATGTTAAAGATAGCTTTTAAACTCTTTAGGCTTGCATTTTAAAACATAAGGTAATAATTGCTCCTAAAAAATATGTTTATAATTAAAAACAAAAATGGTATTTGCTTTAAATATTTTTTTTCAAGTAAAATTAACATTGCGAAGCGAATTGCTGGAAACAATGCTTTTAACAGGAAATACAAAAACAATACAAATTCCCAATTAAAAAATTTAAACAAGTGTTTTGTTTGTGGCGCAAAATAAATAAGCTCAAATACAATAAGTCGTTGAACTTAATGAATAGCGAATGCTTATACTTATACAAGAGATTGTAATAAAACAGTTTATTGTTCCCAGCTATTTTATTAATTAGGTCGTAACCATCTCTTGGCATTTAGTCATCCCAAGTCAGTCAAAAGAAACAGTTCTCTTCAAGAAAACTCAAAATGCAAATGTTTTTTATTATCTGCTTAATATTCATCCCATTCGGTTGTGATTCGGCATTAAAAGATGGTATTAGAAGTATTTTATTGAGCAACCACAAGATTCGCTTGTTAATAAAGTTCCTTTTTTATATAATATAGCAAACTGCGGTCTTAGTTATCGTGGCGTCGGACTATGCAAAATGTTAATTACAAAAATTGTTTATATACCTATTGAAAACAAGTGCAGGGTCGTGCACATAACTGGATGTTCAGCTACAGGAACTTTCTTCAGCAGCGTAAAAGCTTGCGAAGCTAAGTGCAAGAAGTAATAGTATTCACAATATCTCACTTTGTTTAAAATAAAAAAAACTAAACTCAATTTTGAAATGTTTTTACGTGGTTTAATGTTATTAGTCGCGAATATGAATCAATATTAATGAATGATTCTTTAGTGCTATGGTATTTTAGTCGTTTCGTGTTATTTAAAGGAAAGAGTTTAACTCTCTTAAAATGCATCTACTTTTTATTCTTTGCCTTATTTGTTTCATATTTGGTTCTGTTTCGCCTCTAAAAGATCGTAAGTGTATTGCAGAAAACTAGCTTAATATATTTTGAGCAATCCTAGGCTTTATTTATAGTAATATTCCCATAAATTTTAGCAATCTGCGATGATGAGGTATATGGCATCGGGTCGTGTAATGCTTTAATTGAGCGAATAAGTTATAGAATTCGTGGAAATTCGTGTGGATCGAGAACCTTTGCAGGCTGTGAAACAGTAGGAACTTTTTTCAAAAGCATAAAAGAATGCGAAGATAAATGCAAAATGTAATACTATTGGTAATTAAAATATTCCCTTTATTAAACATGTCTACAAATTTTGGTATAAAATACCTTGACACGAAATAAAATATAAAGGAAAACTTTTCATGTTACAATTGAAGATGTCTTTGTCTTTTATTCGATAATATAAACCTAAAATTGAATTAAATTAAAAATAAATTTAATTGCAACTTGTTTTAAATGTATACAAAACTTACTAAAAATACAAAATTATATTCTATTTATTTTCTTTTTTCAAAAGAAATTATTAAAACACGAAATTTGTTTTTAAGGTAATTTCATGTATTTTTTTTTTAATTTAGCAATCAACGAAAAGTGATTGAAAGAGTTTGCCAAAAACTTTTCCTATTTGCCGGCAAGTCGTTAAGACATCAACAACTTGGCTCCTGTTGGTACTTTTCGCTTTTCCCCCGCTCCAAGCGCTCGTTTAGCCCTTCTTGTATTCATATTTCTTCTTTTTTTTATAAAACTTATGCCCAGGGCAAAACTAAAGCCATGAAAGCATAATGACAACGCCGACGACAAGTGCGCGTAATGGCTGCATCAGAACAAAGTTGAAGAATGGAATCATCATCATGACTTGCTAGACAATTAGCAATGGATTTTTAGGATTCTAGTCTCGATTTTCAGCGAAACCGAGAGAGAAAAGTTAAATACTAATAGTTTCAAAAATTATTAGTTTTTAAAAAGCTAAAAACTAAAATATGTTCTCACAAGAAAAAAGATCGAACAAGCTTTAATAAAAGGGTAATGAATATCGATAGTTGTAAAATAGTATTAATGTTTGTCTGCGAGGATAATTGTTTTGAGTTTTATAATTATTTTATATAGTTCCTCAAACAAAGTCACATCCTAAGAAACACTAGAAGTCTAAGAAGAATAAAATAATTGGTCACAATTTTCCAGAATCGATTTACGTAATGACTAGAACAAATTTTATAAGCAATGGTTCCGAAGAAAGTTCTATAAAAACCTCGAATCCATAGGAGCTGGTGTTAGTTTTTTCAGCAGAGCTGAACAATTTTCGTAAAATGAAAGGGATTCTTATTACTCTTTTATTAATAACCCTACTTGCTTTTGTAACGGGCTTAGATGATTGTGAGTTTTGGTAATATTTTTTGGGCTGGACTTTATTAACTAATAACATTATTAAGCAGACTGCAAACCCCTTATTGAGCCTAGGAGGAAATGCAAACCTTCTGATCCCGTTCGCCGAGGATTTACATATGACGAATCAACAAATAAATGTGAAAAAAAAGAAATATGTACGCTAAGAACTCAAGGCAACAATTTTTACAAGGATATCGCTGCATGCGAAGCAAAGTGCAAGAAATAACAAACCATCGTAAACAGTCAGGCTTAAAATAAATTAAGTTATCCTGTTCAGAAAAAAATGTTAACTACACCCAAAGAAAATACACTGAAAGTTTAGTTTTAAAACGTGTGCCTGGTAAATAAACAACATACAGTACTAAAGTATAAGTATTAATTATTCAATTCTAAATAACATAAACCATTTATTTTTATGTTTTATTTCTATACCGAAGTAGAACTATAGTCTACGGGGTGAGTTTTAAGCCATATACATTTTATTTTGATACTTTTGTGCTTTTAATTTAGCACTCATCTTGTTAAGAAATTTTTCAAACCAAATATCAGTTTCTAAGACAGTTTTGTTTTGGGTGTAGTTGCCATTCTAAATTATTATTCTAAATTAATTGTTTATCTCAAAAGCGAGTATTATTGTTTTGAGATTTCTTATAAATTCGTCAAAAAATGTTACATACATTCTTAAGAAACACTAAAAGTGGGCTTATATAAGAACTAATCATAATTTTGCAGAATCAATTAACGTAATGACTAGAACCAATTTTATTAGCAACGGTTCTGCAAAAAGTTCTATAAAAACCTCTCACCCATATGTGCTGTGTGTTAGTCTTTTCGCCTGAGCTGAAGGAATTCAATAGTTCTCGTAAAATGAAATCGATGTTCATTACCCTTTTATTAATAACACTGCTTGCTTTTGTTACTGGCCAAATAAAAAGTGAGGTTTTTTATTATTTTTGCTGAACTTTATTAATTATTCACATTATTAAGGCGACTGCACTCCACGTAGAGTGTTCTTTTTGAGATGCGATAAGGATTTTACTCCAGGATTCACATATAGACAGCAAACAAATCAATGTGTAAAAATTAATACATGTATACATACACATATTACAAACAATTTTTACAAGGATATCGCTGCATGCGAAGCAAAGTGCAAGAAATAACAAACCATTGTAAGCAGTCTGGCTTTAAGTAAATTAAGTTATCCTGTTCAGAAAAAAATGTTAACTACACCCAAAACAAACACTGAAAGTTTATTTTAAAGACGTGCGTCTTGAAAATAAACAATAGAAAGTACCTAAGTATAAGTATTAATTATTCAATTCTAAATAACATAAACCATATTAACTATAGTCTACGGTTTGAGCTTGCAATTCTAAGCAAAATGCAATACATAACAAACTGTTGTAAATAATTCGAGTTAGGAGTAAAATAAATCTAGTAATCTTTACTAAAGTTTATAAAACCGTTGTCTTAAGTTTTATTTTTAAGCCGCATAAATTTTGTTTTGATAATTTTGTGCTTGGTCGAAATTTTGCAGAGTCAATAAACGTATTTTTATGTTATTAACTATGTGACCATCTCATGTAAATAGTTTTTAACTTAATAACAACTGTCACCCACAGCAAAATCAAAGAAAAACACATTTACACTAAGATGTCTTAATTGCTAGAACATTTTTTTTAGTTAGACGCGTCAAGTATTTTATTGTAAGACTTTCTCGATTAGATCAGTAAGTTTTTTTTCGAGTATATTGCCTGTGTTTTGAAGGTTCTATTGCGACAACATTAATTAGATTAAAATGCCTACAAATCATTTTGGAACGGCACCCGAGTGACAACCTCCGGATTTCGGAGCGAGTAAGCTCGGTAAGCTCACACATTATTCACACGCTTCGAGGCGCGCAATTTTCCGCCATTTCCCGAAATGCAAATTGCGCACAAGCCCAAATAACACGGAAAAATACCGAGCAATTTAAAGCAGTGTCCGCGCAGGGATAAAGCATTCGAAATCAGTCCGAAAATAGCAAAAACAGCGGCGGGGGCTCGTCCCGAAACAATTACAAAACTATAAGCCCCCAAAAGGATTCGGGCCGCAAATAAACAAAAAAATGCAAATCCAGTCCAGGAGTTAAAAGAGGGGGAAAAAACAAAACGAGGGGGAATCCCCCAGAGATGCCCACACAAATTGTCCGCTATCGGCTTTTTGGGATCGACTCTGGAGTTGCTCTTAATTGGGTTCTCACACCCAGGAAAAGGATATAGCCATGTTATAGGCAGCATTTTTGGAAGCTGTACGGGGAAAATCTCTGGTCAGCATAAGCAATGCCCCGCGGGAAAGCTCATGTTAATTACAAAATACGTCCTATTTTTGTTCAGGAACAAATAATTGGTTTCTTTGCTAAATCGTGGTTACACAAACAAAATTACTACATACTTCTTGTGAAATAAATAATAAACAAAATAGAACGTAAAATACATTTTTTCAATAGATAACAAATTTAATCGCTTCAAATCAACCAAAAGAAAAAGTTGTACTTCAGAAAAAATAAAAAGTGCAGCTATTTTCTTTTACTTGCCTTATTTATTACTTATTCTTAGGTATTGTTTTTCATCATCCCCCAGCTCGTGAGTATTTCTAAAACACATACTATATTAAATGATTTACTAAGATAATATTTTATTGGAATCTGATGTTATGGAAACTTAAATTTAAAGTCAAATCAAAAATAATATGTGTTTAATATGGTTGCTTGAGCCATGCCTTTAAAATGACTCTCTAATTCAATCGATCATGAGCTTTCAAGGAAAATAAATATTATTAAAACTTAAAGCTTTTTATTTTCTTAATATTTATCAGCCTTCCGAAACAGTGGAGTAAAGTCCTTGTATAAAGTGGCTGACTTTCTCCTTCATGCCCAACACATTCAACAAATAAGAGGGGGAATTTCACTTTTAGCCAAACACTTTGCTAAGAAACACTTGTACTCCTTTCGAAAAGGACGAAATCCAGGCTTTTTGTTTTCGGCCGTTTTTGTTGTTAGGGTGCCGCAAAATGCCTTAATCATGGCTCGTAAATCTTTGATGTTTCATTCGAGAGCAAAACGCTAAGCGATTTTTAAAATGGCTGTGTGTTGGTTAAGCCGCATCCATAAATTATGGGATCAGAATGCGGCAATTTTCCCTTTGTTACATCACATTAGCGCTACAGATAGAGCTGCGAGAAAAATCTCTGTAAACTCCGAAACTCCCCTTTGCAAGTCCCCAATCGAATTCAATTCAATTTGGCATTGAGTAAAATAAAATAAAATAAAAATGCACAAGTTTTGCTTGATTTCATTTTGCTGCTTTGGCAAAGGCCAAAAAGCGCAAGCCAAAGCAAAGCAAATCGATGTGGAAAATGCTGCATAGAGCAGCAAATATCTAGAATAAATTGAATATAAATACGAAATCAAATCGAATTTGATGCGAGTTTCAGGGCTCTGTGATTGAAACGGATTATGGCCAGAGTGGTTTTCCCCAACTTCATCTTCATCTTCCTTCCCAACGTTACTGGCCAAGTGCTGGAATTGTGGTAATTCCGATCTTTGGTAATTGGCCCTGTGGGAGAATGGAAAGGAAATAAAATCGGCAGCCAATTCGCTGGCGAGCACTTCAATTTTTTTGGTGCAGCAGTCTCTCTCTGTTTCAGCTGCATTTGAGCATTTGAGCACTTCAAGTGCATTCCAATTAAGTGCGCTGGGTAACTATAAGAGCTTTTCCAACCCGCACTAATTTTCCCGCTTTTCTCGCCGCTTTTCCCCCGCTTTTCCTCGGATTACCCGGCCTGAGCTTAATGGGGCAGCCGCAAGTGTCGCTTACGCATTTGGAGGTTTTCCAATTTGTAGGCGTTTGGTTGGAAGTGTGGTCAGCTTAATTACGAGTGCTTAAATAGCTTTTCTAACGGCAAACACTAGTCTTGATAGGATTGCAATTTTACTGATAAGTTTTTTATAAGTACATAAAAACAATAAGTTGTTAGTGTACATCAGAAATTTATTGCTAAACCACTTAGGTTAAAGCGTAAGATTGTAAACGGATTCCACATTATTATTTTGATTTCTTCATAAAAAGTAAAACCAAATTTAAATAAAAAAACTTTTTTTGTCAGTAAATAGCAAAATAAGTTCATAGCCTACGGAAAAATGTTAATGCTAAGACAATTAAGTTTAAGTGAAAGCGAATTTACATTAAGGGAGTGCAAATATAACGTATACGACTCGTTGGCCAGATCTGACATTCATAAATCAGATTAAACCAGACAATTATTTAAAATTAAGCAATAAATATTCAATAGTGTGTAAAAACCTGATTTGTAAAATAAATGTTTTTTTAAACAAATGATTCGTATAACAAATAATTTGTGTAATATGTTTAATGCGTAATATGTATAATACCATGCCAATAACATTTTTAATATTCTTTATATTTTTTTTAATAAATAATTATAAAAAAATTTAGGAAACTTTAAGCAACATGCATTCACAATTAGCTTTTACCAACAAAGGAGTTTTCACAACTGGACCATGAACTTGATTAGTACTTCTCTCGAAGTTTTAAGTGAACCAAGATTTTTGAACCCCAGTTTTTTCACCCGCTTAAAAGTTAACCCTTCTAACTCATGTGCATATCCTTCGTATCTGGGCCTTAGCAACAATCACTTCGACCCCTCGGCGAGTGGGAAAGCTGCTCTTTGCCTTTGTTACTGGACAAATGTGAAAATTGCTACGGCCTTTTAGCCTCGAAACGACTGTCAAACGCACTTGGAAGTCGAGTTGGAAAGCCGCCAGTTGTTTGGCTGTTTTTTTTTTTAACTGCTCCGTAAAGTTACGCAATCGGAGAAAACTCCGGGCACAAAGTTACAATTGCAGGCGGCGACTGTATGGGAATGCAGTGGACCAAAGTTGGTCCAACTCTTTGACTGATTAGATGCCCACCCGGGGGGACAGTTTAAACTTTAAAGTTGTCCCAGTGGCAAAAACAATGAAAAATTCATTGAAGTGCACTTTGATTTGTCGCTGTTCGAATCGTTTTGTTAAAAGTCGCCAAAAAAAAGTTGGGAAAAAAATTCGGTTACTAGATCAAATCTCTTTTTACCTGTGAGACCAGCGAAATTAAAATTGCACATGGGTTGCAGCTTTTAAAAAATTTAAGTGAACACGGTAGCGCAGGGTTTCGATAAGAGAACTCCAAAATGGTTTACGTGGCGTATGAGCAATTTTATCAAACAGTTTGGAGGACTTTTAAAAGCTCTAATTGCCTTGCAAAGAAAGTTATAGTTTTGGACTGAAGTTCAATTGAGTTTTAAAATTATTGGGAAATTATTTATTTTTGTTATATTCTTTAATTATTCTGTTTTTAAAAGTTTGTAAAGATTTGGCTTTATGGCAAATTTACTAATCCCTTTTCATTTAAAAATTAATTAAAAAGTATAGTTTTGTAACTAAAATTCTGAAAGGCAGAGTGAGCACTCTTTTATTAGCCACCTAGCAACAGTTTCGCCATCTAAAAGTAATACTCAACTTGACAGTGACAATCCTAAAAAAGAACTAGGAGCAATGCCTGCAATTTATGCCGACACATAAAAATATCAGTAAAAACGTGAGACCGAAACAACAAGAGCTGTAAAAGTCAGTCAGTAGAAAAAAATAGTTTATTTAAGTAGCAAAGCGCGAAAAATGTGTTTTTTTAAGAGTGGAGGTCGTAAAGGATTTCACCCACGTGTATTTGCATATGTGGGAGTGGGTAAGCTTAAGTGTGTGTGTGTGTGTATGTGCTTTTCGCTTCTGTTTACTTATTTAAGTCATTTGCAATTTCTGCACTTTTCTTTGCACAGTCAACGCATAAAAAATAACACTGAAATGCAGCTCCACTATCTACACATGTACAAAATTTCGTTAAAATATTCTTAAGAAAGTTAAAAACGTATCTTATTAATCAAGGAACACGGTAGAAATATTTAAATATTTACAAGCAAACCATATTTTAGATATACAAATTATATATTTTACAGAAAACCATTTTGCTCCAATATCATTCAAAACTTATGTTTGGAAACTTAATTTAAAAATCCAATACTTTAATTGTTTTGCTGAGCCTACAATTGAATCTTAAGTCATGTTAAAATTGGTTTGAATATTAAATTTAACTGAGTACAGTTAAAAATTCACCCTAAACAGGTCAAAATTAACTTAAATGCTTTTTCAAGTGCATTTTATAGTCAAGGTTGTTGAAATCACACATTGAAATCACTAAGAAAACATATCTAAAAGTATATAACAATATAATTTAAATCCAGAATTCGTTTAAAATATTTTTTGATGTATATTTTTAGAGACCTTAAAGTTATTTTAAGACCCTAGTGATTTTTGTTGACCCCAGTGATTTATTTGACTTAGTGCTTATTTTTCCTCGGTGTAAAAAGCGTTTATGTGTGTTCATATGAATTCCCTTTATAACTGACAAACTTCGCAGGCAACTTTAGCAATTACTAAACTCACACACATGCAAGCACTCAGACACATGCTAAAT